AGCTTTACAAAGAATTTCTGTAAGATTATGTATAATAATGTACATTCATGACTGCCCTAAAAAGCATTTTTAAAGCCATGTACATTCACGACTGCCCTAAGAAGCATTTTTAAAGCTATTTGTATTATGCAGAACACAAGTATACCTCTACTCCCTATAGAACCCTATGGGAATTTGAATTGCAGCTTCTTAACAGAAGTCCCCATTGGCTCCCATTTCAGCCAATATCTAAACAGCCATTGCCTTCATTGGGTGAAGAGTTAGACCTCAAATTCTGTGAATTGTAATTCAGAGATCAATGAAATTGTGTTTATTAAATTGTTGTATGTTTTACCTGTGAACATGAATGCTTATGTTTTTGTTTTAATAGAAGGGATCTCAAAATTCCAATCGTATTTAAAACGATCAGACAGTTTGTCTTCATTGGTCTCTGAGAAAGACTATATTAAGTCATTAGATCTTTCATCAAATGAGCTGGAGAATATAGATGCCATCAGTCAGAACTGCTGCTTAACTGGTCACTTGGAACATCTTGAGAAATTGGAGCTGCACCAAAATGCACTCAGAAGCATTCCAGAACAACTGTGTGAAGTAATTTTATGTCATATTACATAATGCAAGAAAATTATCAGTTCTTTTAAGATGAAAGACCAGATTGGCATCAATGTGTCTACATGTGTACATTTGCTTCCCTAATTTGCATGTGTACAATTTTCATGCAGTAATTGAATGTGCTGTTAACCAGTTAGTTGTGCAGACATGCTCAGGTAGTTTCTGGCATATACTTACTGGAGAGGGTCAGATTGGGACGTATATGTTACAGATAGTTTACATGATTGCATTATGTAAATGAAAATCCGAACTGCATATGCTACTTATATGCTAAAGCAGCGGTTGATTGCAATCGACTGGTCGATCCTAGAGGATCTCCCAGGCGATCGCGATCTCTGGCGGCACAGCGAGGCTTCCACTAAGATAGGCTCCCTGCCTAGCCCGGCCCCATGCCGCTCCTGGAAGTGGCCAGCACAGCCCAAGGAGCATGAGGGCAGGGGTCTCCCTCAGCACTGCCCCTGCATTGGCCAGGAACAGGACTGTGACCAATGGGAGATGCGGGGGCGGTGCTTGCAGAGAGGTACAGCGCGCGGAGCCACGTGCCGCCCACCCACCTCCCCGCAAGGGTGCGTTGGCCCCTTCCAGGAGTGGCATGGGGCCAGGGTAGGCAGGGAGTCTGCCTTACCAACAGCAACACTACACCGCCAACCGGGAGCCACCAGAAGTAAGTGATTCCCGGCAGGAAGCTGAACCCCAGCCCTGAGCCTCCTCCCAGAGCCTACATCCCGACCCCCCTCCTGAACCCCAAGCCTCAGCCCTGAGCCCCCTCCCAGAACCAGCACCTCATACTACCCCGCACCCCAACACTCTGCCCCAGCCCTGACCCCCCCTTCCAGAGCTAGCACCCTGTACCCCCTCCTACACCCCAACCCCCTGCCCCAGGCTCAGCCCAGAACCCCCTCCCACACTGCAAACCCCTCAGCCCCAGCCCAGATCCTGCACCCCCTCCTGAACCCCAACCCCCTACCCCAGCCTGGTGAAAGTGAGTGAGGGTGGGGGAGAGCAAGTGACGGAGAAAGGGAGGGATGGAGTGAGTGGGGCGGGGCTTTGGGGAAGGGGTGGGGCCTCAGGGAAGGGGCGGGGTAGATCCTGGGTTGCCCTTAATTCAAAAAGTGATCTTGGGCGTAAAAAGCTTGGAGACCACTGTGCTAAAGACTTTGTGTAATTGTACTAGTTAGTTTTATTACAGCATGCATGCACATCCTCTTTATTTTACTGATATAGTATTATATAATAATTACCATTTTCTCTCATTTTACTTGATAGGATAAATAAAATAAATATGAAGTAATTGCCTAAAATATTAATTTAGTTTAAAAATTAGAAATTCGTATCTATATGTTGTACTTTTTAAAAAGAAATTCTCCTTTTCTTTCAGACTTTGAAATGTTTGACTTACTTGGATTTGCACAGTAACCGGTTTGCATCTTTTCCTACTTATTTACTGAAAATGAATTATATTGCAAACCTTGATATCTCGCGGAATGACATTGGCCCTTCCTTAGCTTTGGATCCACATACCAAATGCCCAACTCTGAAGCAGCTTAATCTATCATACAATCAACTGTCGTGCATTCCTAAATTTCTTGCGGATATTGCAGAAAACCTAGAACAGCTAATGCTAGAAGGGTAAGAATAGTGCCAGTTTATTTGATTACTGTTTAACAAAAATTGCAGGAAATAATCAGTTTATTTCATCCAGAATAATCAGTGTTACTGAATGTAAATTATTTTCTGGTCAAAAATGTGTTATAGTAATTAATTAAATTCACAAAAGCAAGGAGATGCAGAATCCAGGTTTCCATTCCTTTTCTTCATTTTTATTATTTTTCATTAGATGAGTTCATGTTTCTAATATCACCATGGTGGAGTGGTTTTTGCTATTCCTCTCATTCCCAAATATCTCTAACATCTTAAAAAGAACAGGAGTACTTGTGGCACCTTAGAGACTAACAAATTTATTTGAGAAGAAGCTTTCGTGGGCTACTAACCCTCTACTTCGGATGCATAGAATGGAACATATATTGAGGGGAGATATATACACACACATACAGAGAGCATGACAAGGTGGGAGTTGTCTTACCACCTCAGAGAGGCTAATTAAGTAAGAGGAAAAACACTTTTGGAGTGATAAA